TTGCGTGCGTGCGTGGGGTACTTGCGTGCGTGCGTGGGGTACTTGCGTGCACGCTTACACATGTGCCTGCGTGCGTGCGGGTGTGAGTTTGTGCGCGTGTTTGGTGTGTTTTCATGATGGTGGAAGATTCCCATCCAAGATTTATTCCCATTCCCAATACCAGAAAACGAATGAAGAACACGAATCGGTCATTTATTGAGTATCTCAAATATAGTACTCGTTAAGGAGTAAACGTGCCGTGCCGCCTTAAGTGTTAGAACCCGCGCATGGACCCCGCTAGAGGGCACTTACAGCGCTCCTCCATATCCCTCCTCGCTAGTGGTTCTGGTTCTGGTTCTGGTCCCCCTTCTCCCTTTTGGTCCATTGCTGGATCGCGCTGTTGCTGGATGTTGCCTGGTGTTACCCGATGTTGCCCATTGTTGCCCGGTGTTGCCCGATGTTGCTGGATCGGTCAACACGCTTGTTAATGTTAGGCAGTCGTTAGCGTATAAGATGTCGTTAGCTTATAAGATTCGTCATAAGATGTAACTACAAACAAGCGCGGCCATTTTGTATTCATGCGTCCGTACGGATTAGAGGGGCGAAGCACAGTATAGCTATACCTGACGAGACAATAGCAATAACGAGGTGAGCTGCATGAGTTGTGCTTGTGAAACATACTCGTATCAAATATATTAAATGTGTATTAAATGTGTCAAAAGTGTTAGTGAGCTGTGCTTGTGTAACGTACTCGTATGCGTTCTCGTAAAACGTGAGTTGAGCTTGTAAAACGTGCTAGTAAAACGCGTAGTGCGTAGTGTGCTTGTGAGACTTCCTAGATTCAAATGTGCTTTTGGAATGTGCTTGTAATAGGTATAAAATGTAATCGTAAAACGTGCTCGTGAAATGTGACTGTATAATGTGACTATGATATATGTTGGTGAACTCTGCTTGATGAGATTGCTATCAATAGATCGAAGATGATTAGCTAGCGATAGATTGAAGGTTATTGGACAACATTCCTGCGGGCCATTCTGTAAGCTGCAATATTGAATGCGACGTTTAAGCATATCATTGCACGTTACTGTTCCACTGGATATACCCTTACACTTCGCATAGTGATACACGTGGCATGTGCATATTTTACACGCATGTTTATCTGGGGTTAACTCTACCCGCGTAGCTCCATTGCTCCTGCTACAGGATTTTCTCGTGGGTACAGGTAGAAATAATCTGGAGTGAAGCTCGCAGACAATCTTGATCTCACGTGATCTCACGTGATTCCCATCGTTTATATCTATTGGCTGTTCGCTTGACCTTTACTTCTTACCCTTCACACGTTCACAGCAAGGCATATATATATATATATATATATATATATGTGTGTGTGTGTGTCTGTGTGTGTCTGTGTGTGTATATATATAGGCCTTGGTTCACAGCACGTCTTTTCTACGCAATATCTATATTTGTTGTCGTCTCGCGTGTATGAAACTTGACGTAAGGGAAAGAACGTAATCGCAAGAGAATCAGGCTGTACAGCCAAGAATCTCACTATTCTCTACCCCTACCACCCACCCCGCCCCAGCATACCTCTACTTCCTCCACTACCTCCCCCTCCCAACTTCCCCGATTAACCCCTTTCCCCGCTACCCCCACCCCACCCCAGCATATTCCCCCTCCACTACCTCCCTCCTAGCCCCCCTGCTATAACACCTTCCCTACTACCCCTTCCACCCCTAGCATGCTCCTGCCTCCCTCCAACTCCACCGACGAACCCCTTCCATTTTACCCCACCCCACTCCTGCCCTCCTCCAACTCCACCGACTAACCCCTTCTCTTCTACCCACACCCTCAGTATTCATTGCTAATGGCCAGTATAACCTCCCTTCCGCGAAACGACAACCAACAAAGAAATGACACCAGGAGTGTCA